CGCCCCTCAGGGGGGAGACCCCAGCGCCTGCCTCACGCGGTGGGGAGACGGCTGCCTGCTTCCAGCGTAGGCCGTCTCCGAGTTGCGTTTAATTAAGGCTCCGCTTCGGTTTAATTAAGGCCACGGTTTCACGTATGGGATGCATGAGGCAGTGCTGATGACTCAAAGCATTGCTCCAGCCCTGAGTCTTGTATAAAACCCCAAATCCCTGCCTGAACCCACCGCTGGCACCCTGCCCCGTGCACGGTGCACCTCCTTGCCCGTACCCAGCTGGTCTCCCTCCAGGTCAGTCCCGCACTGGCATGGCCTGGATTTGGCCATGCTTTGGTAACAGGGGGCTTTACGCTCCCAGCCACAAAGTGTGTCCTGGCCCAAAGACCCCCGTGCCTCCCAGTGCGCCCCTGCCCAAGGGGATGCTGAGAGCTCGGAGAGGTATTCTTGCTGCCACCAACGCAGAACGCTGCAGCCTCCCCGCTAATTAATTCAAACGAGCCCCTCGCATCCCCAGGCAGCAGCCAGGGCTGATGAGATACAAGGTTCCCCGAGCGGCTCCTCCACACAGAACAAAGAGAGCTCGGAGGCGCTCGCGGGGCCCGCACTCTGCCCCTGGTTTTGCAGGGGAGAGAGGAGACGGGAGAGCAGCGCGGGTTTGTAGCAGGACAGGGCTGACGCACAGGAGGAAGGGGAGCAGCATGCAGCCTGTGGCAGGTGCTCATGGAGCCCATGGGTGCCTCCAGCCCTGCCGGGACACACGGGGAGCATGGGCACTCCTCCTCTCCTCTTGCACGGGGCCAAGGGACAGACCAGATGGCAGCACGCAGGGAGATGCCGATCTGAAAGGATCCGATGGTGAATCATCCTCCTGCCAAGGCTTCTCCCCCGCGACAGGCTCTGTGGTTTCCCTCCCAGGCTCTCGCTTCCCTCCGAGGCTCTCAGCGTACCCATGCTGCCCCTCCACAGGGGGAAGCTGAAAACCTCCGAATGAGCTGATGCAGGGATGCACGACAGCTTTACCTGCTGCTGCGCTCCTGAAGAGTAACGCTGTTCTGCAACTCCCTCACCTGCACGAGGGCCAAAGCTAGGCGGCTTGGGATGTTAGCAAATGGAGCCCGGTGTGCAGATCCCCCAGGCAGCTTGGAAACACCAACCCTTAGGCTATTATTAAAGCACGTTAATTACCAAGTGCTTATTGATCCTGGCTTTCCGACCTTCCCTAGCCCCTGGTTGCGCCTCTAATTGTGACAGGCTTGGTGATGGGAGAGCTGGCCCTGGCTGGTTTGTGGCTGAAGCTCAAGGGCTGATGTTTGGCAGTTCCTCAGTGCATGTCTGGACACAGACCTGCCCGTGAGCCTTTGCTCATGAGGGCTTTGCAGCGTGACCTCTCCCTCCTCCTGACCCTCCTTCACCGGCTCTTTCTTCCTGTCTTCCCTCTGCTCGCCCCTGCGGCGGTGTTTCCCCTCTGCTCATTTCCCTCCCAGCCACAAAGCAAGGACCTATTCCAGTGGTGGGTCCCAGTCCCGTCCCCGCCTTGCTCCCAAGGAATCCCAGGCGCAGCAGCCACCTTCCCACCCTGAATCCCGCAGGCCCTGGGGCCGATCGCTGCCGGGTGCTGAGCACCTCGCAGCTGCACAGGCTGCCAGCCAGGCACAGCGGCAGCAATCAGCTGGAGTGCCCCCATCATCCCGGTCACTCACACTCCAGATAATTACTTATTTGACTAAAATAGCTGCTGTCACTGCAGCCATGGGTTGCTTCCACGACCGAAGGGAAGTGGCGTATAAATCACAGCCCAAGGTCTGGACACCAAGGAGACCAGTGAGGAATAAAGGCCAGATAGCTCAGGTCTGGGATCTGCCTGGAGCGTAGGGAATTCTCCTGGCTCACCAAAAAGAACTCGATCCCAAAGGCAGAGCCATACTCATTGCTCCACACCTGTGGTATTTCAGTCTGTTAACTCACGAGCCACAAAATGCGCCCGTCTCTGGGTGCACACACTGACAGTGCAAGGGAAAACACCCCAAACCATCCAGCTCGGTCTCTCACCACCTCCCTGCCCTTGCAGGACTTGCCGGTGTGAACAGGAGCTTTCCTTCCTGTCCTGAGGTTTGCCACACCAGGGTTCTACCCACAAAGCCCAGTTGGAGCCTCATCGCTCCTATCGGAGTCTCATCACTACAGCACACATCCCACTTCCAGCCCTGTGAGCTCTCGCTCTGCCCGTCCCACAAGGCTAAAGAAGAGTAGGAGAGGAGGGACGTCCCACCTGGGGGATCAATGTGCTACAGGTCAAAATGCCACGGCCGGCCCCACTGCCTGGAGGCTGCTGATTGCCAGACCTGACATGTGTCCTCATTAGCTCCAGGGTTGGACCTGGAGGGGGGTCACCCCCATTAGGAGGAGCAGATGAGCTCAGGGTCAAGCTAGCTCTCTCCTGAGTCTGTCGGTTGGTGCCACCACAGGGGTTTTCCACGTTTCCATGTCTGGTTACAGCCATCATCGAGAGCCCCAAGTCCAAAAGATGAAGGTTTGGGGCTCTGCACTAATTACACCACCCAAGCTGGGCTCCTCAAGTCACTTATCAACAACCACATCTGTACAGCGGCTTTACATCCCCATTGGGCAACCAGACTCAGAAGGCTCCAGCCCTTCTAAAACTCCCCAAAGGCCACTGCACGGCACTGACCACCCGCACAGGTTTTCAGTGCTCCATCCCCAAACCACACAGCATCAGTGCCACCGTTCCTCAGAGGAACGCCTGCCCAGCTCCCATCGTGCTAGCAGCCTCCTGCAAAAGGGCCTGCTCTCCTCCGGAGCCAGGCGCCTTGCTAATGAATTTCTGGCCAGACATGAAGAGTCCTCAGGAATGTTAATAGTTTGCTGGAGGATAAGCAAGAGATTTGGAGAGATTTACACCAACTTTCATGTGACAGCCACGAAAGTGGCTCAAACCCTTCCGTTTCTTTGCGTGGGGGCGGAGGGAGGAGGCTGCCCCTGCATCTGCGGTGTTTGCAAGAGATGGGGAGCATGAAACGCAGACAGCTCCTGTGGGAGCCACATCAGGGGGACCACATAAGGTTTGGGTCTCCTCTGCCTCCCCCGGCCTCACTGTTTCTGGCAGGGAATTTCTTCCAGGGCCAAAGAGAGTGCCTGGAGGAGGTGGTGGGACAGGGGGTGCAGAGCTGAGCACCCCACTGGTGTAGGACCCAGCCAACCCCAGGGCCACTGCCCCCCCTCCGCCGCTGGTACCCAGCTGGGGCAGGCTGTGATTGCGCTCAGCATCTTACCTTCACGTATTCACTGCCGGACTCCAGGCCATCATGGTGGCTAGAAGGAAGGAGAAAAATAAAATACATAAGTAAAGGGCAGTAAGATGTGGCAGTCAGGTCAAAGGTGGTGGTGGCACAGCCGGGTGGCAGTGGGGTTCTGTGCCCCTTGCCTTGCCATGTGGCCGAGAGCATGGCCACTGTTTTGAGAGAGGTTCCCAGGGCCCCAGCACTGTTCCTGCCCGCTCTGTGCCCACTCTCTGCACAGGGCTTAGCCTCCCTAAGGCGATCAGCAAAGAATGAGGCCTTTTTAGAGGATCTCACCCCAAATCGGCTTGGGACTGTGTGAGCTGAGCCGGGGAGCCCCAGCAGCCAAGCTGGGGTCCCCGCAGGTCACAGTGCCGGGGGGTGCATGCCGAGGTGGGGGGCCCTGTGCCCTGTTCCCCAGTACAGCTGCATTCCCAGTAGGCGGCTGTTGGGACACACCACCCAGACAAGCGTTTCTGACTGTTTCTCTACAGCCTCATGCAACCCCACTGAAGCCAGGGGTGAACTGAAACGTCCTGCATGAGACTTCAAGAGTTGCCCTCCCAGCATACAGGCAATAGTCTCTCATTCTTCTTGGTGATATGTTCACTCTTAGCCCTACTGACAACCAACCCAAAAATCCTGAGACACAGCTGATGTGGCAGCTTCTTTGCCATTATTTAAGGGGGGATGCAGATGGCCCTGCTCTTTCCTGAGCACATAGCAATGCTGCTACTCCTTTTTGTGCTCTTGTGGGTTGAGGTATGTGTCTGTACGGATGAGTCCAATAGGAACAACACAGAGGTCAAAGGGAGAGAGGCCGTAACAGCCCGAGCTGGGATATTCTACCCTGAGGTCTCGCCTTTCAGAATAAAATACAAAAATCCAGACTTCTTCAACCGGAACCCAGTATCTGTTGCTTTCCCAGTGCCGAACTTCAGCATGGATGTCCCACTGCTTGCCGAGGTCACCTGCCTGAGCACAGGGTGGCAGCAAGGGCCCTGGGGTGGCAGCCTGCCAGCACAAGGGCAGGCAGCTGCAACTAAAAAATAACCAAATCCAAGGGCGTTACAGACCTGGGATGTCCCTTCCCTGCCAGGAGCTGCCTCGCTCCACCTAGTGCCTACAGACATGGCCAGACCCCCACCTTGTACTGGCAGCTGCTGTGGGTCCTGCACATAAACCTACAGCGGTGGCATCCCTGGGGAGCCAAATTCCTCTTCTGTGGGCTCCCTCCAGGTTGGGGACAATGCCTGGTGGCTCAGAAGCCAGTCACCCAAAGGAAAGCAGGGAATGGCAGAGGCGACCGCTGCCAGATATTGCCGTGCTGGGCATCCCCCTTGGTATTACAGTGGATTCTGTCGGGGTTGGTGTGAACCCCCTGGGAGATGCCTGTACCCAAGGTGTCCAACCCCACAGCAAACGAACCCGACTCCTCTTCCACGAGCCCTCACTGCTGAAACCGCATCCCCTACTATCCAGCTCTGAAGGGGAAAAGGGGCTGGAAATCAAGTCCACACTTCTTTGGGGCGAAAAAAACAGAGGAGCATTTGGGAGGGGGGACGGACACAGGCTCCCCCGGGCAGCTGTGGGCTGCCTGCCCGCCCTGGCTCTGCCTCTTCAGCCTGTTTGCCTTTCACACGGCCGCAGAGAGCTGCCTGGTGCTGCGAGAGCCGTGAGAAAAACCGGCGGGAGGACGGGGGGCCTCCGGGCAGGAAATCGGGAGCATGGGAGCAGCTGGGAGATGCTGGGAGGGCCGGGGCAGGAGAGGCCCCTGTGCCGGGGAAGGGCAGCAGCTGGGGCTGGGGAGGGGGGGCAGGCGCCGCAGCCCCCCTGGTTCTGCGCATTCCTGGAGGAAACGGCATTTTTGGGGGGAGCCGAGCGCCTGGGAGAAATTCCAGGGCTGCCTTTGGAGCACGGCCGTGGCTGAGCCGCTGGGACCTGGCGCTACTGTCGTGGCACCGGGGAGCAGGGGTTCGGCAGGGTGGCTGCTGCTTGTGGGCTCAGGAAGGCATGTCAGTGACTTGCAAATGTGCCAAGCTCCAGGCTGGCTGCTGGGGACCATTGTGTGGGTCCAGCCCCGGTTTGGAGCTCAGAGTCTGCTTGTCTTCAGACACTGGTGCAGGCTGTGCTCCAGGGGAACCAAATTTGGGCACCTCGTGCCTCAGTTTCCCTCACTGTAGAGCTGCCTCCTTCTAGGTTTTGGCTGGCAGTGCTGCCAGATGGGTCTGCCGGCAGCTGCGGGCAGCGCCCTGCCTGCGCTGCGCGGGAAGCGGCATTTCCCGTGCCTCACGCATGGCCGTGTGCGGAGGGAAGTCGAGTCACGTCCGCTCTATGACCTGCCTGCAGGTCATCTCCCGTTAGTCACCATGTCCCTGCCAGAGTCATGGCCGTGGCCACCACCTCACTCTGAGCAGCTCCACAGAGTAGGTGCTGCTCTCTGGCCCATGGCAGTGAAATTGTCCCCCTCAAGGGCTTGATCCTGCAGGAGCATCCCTGGGAAAGCCCTCCTGTGTGTAGGCATCCACAGCTCATCCTGCCCTGGGGTTTGTCCTCACCAGGGATCCTCCGGAGGCAAGCAAGCAAAAATGTACCCCAGGACAATGCTCATTCCCCCTGACCTGTGTCGCTTTTGGTCCCTCTGCACATACGTGCCCCATGCTGGGCAGCCATCCCTGGCTCCTACCATATCCTGGAGGGAACACACTGTCCCCATCCCCAGGGATGTGCCTGCGCAGGAGGAAGGGCTGGGGCGCGGCACTGTCCCGGTCCTGCTTCCGCCTGTCCGCCCCACAGCAGGGCCTGGCCATGGGGGCGGCTCCAGCAATGGCTGCTCCCCAAGCCGGGAGCTGTGGCAGGGGCTCTGAGCAGGACACAGAGGTGAAGAAATGCCCCCGATACCAAGTCCTGCTCCAGTCACTCTTGTGCCTCAGTTTCCCTGGCAAACAGCATGGCTACGCCCATCAGCAGGGCAGCCCCAGACTATGCAAAAGAGCATTTGCCCCTCGATTTTGGGGGATCCAAGTCCCCACTCCCCACAGCCAAGACACCTGGGTGACCCTCCCTGATGCATCCCCCTGCCGCTTGGCTCCCAGCCACACTGGCCTGGGACCTAAGTCATTTTGGGGAGACGGAGGGTATGGACAAGACACGCT